AAACAAAACCTGCAAGTAGTTCATGTGTCAGATAACAAGCATGCAAGTAGTCAAGTACGAAGGCACACAAGTCACACAAGAGAAGCCCTTAAGGTTTAAGGCCAGCATGGGGTCTGGGTAGTACCCTCTTGAAGTTGGTGGGCTCAACCTGTCCTATTAGAAGTAACCGGGTTCTAAGGGTCCCAATATCACGGGATTGCTTTTATTGTTCATCGTTTCGATTTAGCCACTGAACTGGCGACCGAAATATTCCAGGAAAGCAACCCTCAATTGAGTGTAGTATCGAGTATCAACCAACCTCGGACTGCACCAAAGTCAGTTATCTCACTACCCTAAAGAGGCCAAGATAGTTCAATTAAGGTTCCTAAGGTCTGTTGATGCTTCACGACACCACGCGGAGGCCCCGTACTCTCCTTGACTGAACTCAAGGGTTACCGGTACACACCAAAGTGCCACATCAACGTAGCAGACTGTTTCAACCATGTCGGTATACCCCGCACAGTTCCCTCACAGCCTTGTTGCTACTTTCTAAGAAGGTATCCCCCAGATCCGGGTTTAGGACCTATAGAACTCCCAAGACAGTCCCACAATTTAAAGCAAGCAAAGCAATACAATTGAAAACATAGTTATGACCTAGCCCTAAGGTACACCTCACTTTAAAAATATCCCCAGCAGAGTCGCCAGTTCTGTGATCGGTGGATCTGGAACTGACTGTTTAACGCTGGTTCGCGAAATGTCGCGGAAGCAAGAGTCGCCACCGTCTTTTATTTTCTCCAAATGGAAAGGACAAAAGCACAGAAAAATTCCTTAAAGAGATTGCTCTCGGTTCGGGAGGTAGGTTATAGAAAGGGAAGGTGTTAGCACCCTTTCTATCCATGGTTATCCATGGGCTCTTAGATACTTGCTCATTATGTTTTCAAAAATGGTTTGTTTGCTTTGCAACTGTGGGTTTAAAAAGTTTCTTTGAAAATTTCAGTTCGACTCTTGTGTCAGAGTGTTTGAAAATTTGCTTTGAAAGCTTTTGAAAAGTGTCGGTGTGAAAAGATTTTTTGTTTGTTTTTGAAGAGAGCAAGTATCTATGAGAACCTACCTACTCTAAGGAATTCGTCTGTGTAAATGTCCTTTAAAGTAGTGCCATCCCACCATTGAGAGGTAGGTAGCACCACCGTTGGAGGTGTTCGGGTCAATTCGAGGTTCGGGACATGGTGATCACCAGAGCAATGGGAAGACACCTTAGAAGCTACCCTCATGCCAGGTTCCCGGATCATGAGGACTTACTAAGACATCCTCTACTCGACGATCACCTTTCGAGGCAAGGCAACAGTGAGGCGTACCCTAGGGGTGGTGTGTGCGATTCGTGTGTCGTTTTCATTTGTATTTATCTTGTCATGTTTATTGGTGTTCTACGCTTGATTTTATTTTTAAGGCCATTCATTCTTGCATGCTTTGTTTAACAGTTAAAATATTTGCGAGGAAAAGTAAATCTAAAGCTATTACAAATGGCGCGGGTCCACATCGCCAAAATTAAACCGGACCCGATTTGACAGAAAGTAAATAAAGCAAATAAATAAGGAAATTGAAAAGTGCGAGAAGTAAATGTTACAAGGCTTCGGGAGAGGTACATAATTATTCAAGGAAAATAAAATAAATACGCGAAATTAAACAATTAAGAACACGGGTGTTGGACCCTTTTGCAAAAAATTAAAGGGTTAATACTTATTTTCACCCCTGACATATGGGGTGTATTTGAAAAACCCCCTGCCAAAAAAAAAGTTCCAATTGTTACCTTGACAAATTTTAAAAGTTTCAATTTTTACCTTGAGGATGCCACATCCCTAAAAAGGCTGATGTGGCTTATATTTTTGTTATATTTTTATTATTATTTAATGACATGGCTTGATTAGTTGTCATTTTTAATTAATTTTTAATTTTTAATTCCACATGGCATTTATATTAATATTTTATTAATTGAGTGTTAATTCAAAGTTAAAAAATTTTTGTCCTTCAGCAAAATTCGAACCATGGACATTATGTTTGCAATAAACACTTCTTACCACTAGACCAATGCATTTTCTTTGTTACATATATGCATCAATAAATATTCATATCATTAACATATTAATTACAATTATCAATAAATTTTCTTAACTAGTTGATTTAAATAATTTTTAAAAAAATGTTTTATACATATTTTATCTTTTTACTCTAACTTTTTTTAAATTTTAAATTTTCAAAAATCACTTAAATTTAAAAAAATCACTTAAATTTTCAAAAAAAACTTAAATTTAAAAAAAATCACTTAAATTTAAAAAAATCACTTAAATTTTCAAAAATCACTTAAATTTTCAAAAGTCACTTAAATTTTCAAAAATCACTTAAATTTTCAAAAATCACTTAAATTTACAAAAATCACTTAAATTTTCAAAAATCACTTAAATTTTCAAAAATCACTTAAATTTTCAAAAGTCACTTAAATTTTCAAAAGTCACTTAAATTTTCAAAAATCACTTAAATTTTCAAAAATCACTTAAATTTTCAAAAATCACTTAAATTTTCAAAAATCACTTAAATTTAAATCACTTAAATTTAAAATCACTTAAATCACTTAAATTTAACTTATTTTTTTAAATTTAAGTGATTTTTTTAAATTTAAGTGATTTTTGAAAATTTAAGTGATTTTTTTAAATTTAAGTGATTTTTGAAAATTTAAGTGATTTTTGAAAATTTAAGTGATTTTTGAAAATTTAAGTGATTTTTTTAAATTTAAGTGATTTTTGAAAATTTAAGTGATTTTTGTAAATTTAAGTGATTTTTGAAAATTTAAGTGACTTTTGAAAATTTAAGTGATTTTTGAAAATTTAAGTGATTTTTGAAAATTTAAGTGATTTTTTTAAATTTAAGTGATTTTTTTAAATTTAAGTGATTTTTGAAAATTTAAGTGATTTTTGTAAATTTAAGTGATTTTTGAAAATTTAAGTGATTTTTGAAAATTTAAGTGATTTTTGAAAATTTAAGTGACTTTTGAAAATTTAAGTGATTTTTGAAAATTTAAGTGATTTTTTTAAATTTAAGTGATTTTTTTAAATTTAAGTGTTTTTTGAAAATTTAAGTGATTTTTGAAAATTTAAAATTTAAAAAAAGTTAGAGTAAAAAGATAAAATATGTATAAAACATTTTTTTAAAAATTATTTAAATCAACTAGTTAAGAAAATTTATTGATAATTGTAATTAATATGTTAATGATATGAATATTTATTGATGCATATATGTAACGAAGAAAATGCATTGGTCTAGTGGTAAGAAGCGTTTATTGCAAACATAATGTCCATGGTTCGAATCCTGCTGAAGGACAAAAATGTTTTAACTTTGAATTAACACTCGATTAATAAAATATTAATATAAATGCGCCACATCAGCCTTTTTAGGGATGTGGCATAAAAATTGAAACTTTTAAAATTTGTCAATGTAACAATTGGAACTTTTTTTTTGGCAGGGGGGTTTTTCAAATACACCCCATATGTCAGGGGTGAAAATAGGTATTAACCCAAAATTAAATTAATGAGGAATTAAAATTAAAAGAGAATGTTTTTTGTGTTTTTTAAGATTTAGTAGAAAAAATTAATTAAAACAAAATACTAAACCTAATTCTAATTATTTTTAAGTCATTAAGAAAAATGTTGAATTTTAACCTAATTTAGACCTAAGTTATTTTCATGCAAATTTAATTAGAAAAATAAACAAATAAATAAATATTATTATAAGAAAGGAAAATTAAAAAGGAATGAAAAAACATTAATTCAACCTAATTCTATTTTTTTGGATTTTTGTTATGAAAAGAATTAAAATTGCAACCTAATTAAACTAAATTTATTTACATGCATTTATTTATGAAAATATTAGAAATAAAAATTATTTATTATATTTTTATCTTTTCTGGTTTTTATGAGGTTTTTGTATTTTGTAAAAAAAATAATTAATTAAATTAAAACAATAAAGAAAATAAAATAACAATTAAAAATAAAATATAAAGAAAATTGCAAACCAGGGGGGGTTCAGGCCCCAATATGGAGGTGTATTTTAGGAATTCTGGCCCAATGAATTTGGCCTTTTTTGACCTTTTTTGAGTATTATGCTGGAGCGTGGACCAGGGCACAACATGTTCTTTGATTCTTGGCCTTTGATTAGATCTCCAGATGAACGTGGCAAGGCTTGATCTGGGGCATATGATGCGTCTATGTTACTGAAGCTGCATGGGAAACGTTATTGAAAAATAATATAGAAATTATTGAAGACCTGGGGTTCGAACCCAGGTCTTGAGCTTTGCCAATCCTTATGCTTGCCGTCTGTGCCAATTTCGCGTGTTGTATATATAATAACAATCAAATAATATAAAAGAAAAAACAAGGTTAGTGGGAGTCAGCGCGCGAACTTTCAAAACGTCCAACCATCGATGGCCACGAGTTCGTCTTCTTCACTTTTCCTGAAACATAAACGTTTAGACCACGGTTTTCTATGCGTTGCAGAATGGGTCCTTTGAGAAAATAGCGATTAGCCCCTCAACGCTCATAAATTGAGCGCGAGGGTTCCATCGTCTTCGTCTTCATGCGCTGAATCTAATTATGGTCCTGAGAACGTCCAATTTTACCGTACCTGGAAACCCCTAATTCAAAAGCTGAAAAACCCTAATGCTCAATAATGGTGAAATCGTATTGAGTGCGCAAAAACACAATTAAATGGTACAGTTAGCATCAGAATCCATCAATGAGTAATAATCCATAAAAAAATGCAATGATTGTGCTTGAAAACCAAAATACGATTATGCTTATTTCATGAAAAATTTCAAGTTCTGTATACCAATCCTTGAGGTTCTGATGGAAGTTTGTGATTGGAATGTGATCAGTAATCCTTGAGGAAGCTATTGGAATAAATTTCGTGCCTTGAATCAACCTCTAACAATGATTTCAGTTTTGACTTTTTAGAGAATTTTTCCAAGTTTGTCCATGGCCTTTGAGCGCAGCATTCAGGTTATTATGATTAGGTTTATGATCCTGGCATATATATGAATCGATTAGGTTAACAAATTGGATCCAAATCTCTTGTAATCATTGATTGAATATTTGATTTTTTCCACCATAATTTTCATATCTTTTTCATGTGCTTTTGTGTCAATTAGGATCCAATCAAGCCAAATCTTTCCACATTTGCATATGCACGAAATATTGAGGGCAAAACATGCATGAAAAGATTTATTAGGTCAAGTTAGATATTTTTCACATATTTAAATGATTTAAATGAATTAATATAAATAAAAATTCAAATAAATAAATAAAAAATGAGAAAATACTTCCCTTTGGGCCAAGTGGTCGTGCACATGCTTAGAATGATGAATCATGGAAGAAAAATGGGCCCATTAGCAATTTTAGGTCATTTGAAGTAATGTTGACTTTTCAAAATATCCAAAAATTTCCCAACTTCCACAAGGCATAACTTGCTCCATTTTTAAGCTTTTCTCATGTTCTTGGACATTTTGGAAAGGTCTTTGAGTCCTCTAACCAATGTCTTTGGTCCCATGTCATTTTGATTTACCAATCTCAAGTTATGGCCTTTGACTTAAAGTCCCTTTTTGTTGACTTTTGAAAATGACCTATAATGTTGAAATTGATAACTTTTTGTGAGAGAATTTCTTGGACTTGAAGTATGAAGATGAGTTGTAGGAAATGTCTTTCTCTTCAAAATGAGCTTTGGATGGAATTTTTCTGATAATCCATGTGAAAGTTATGCCCTGGTCAATTTCAGTTGACTTTTTCAGCTGTCCAAATAAGGAAACTTTTGCATCTTGATGATTTTCTGAGCCAAACTTTGAGAATCATGATCAAGCATTGATCAAATGATGTTTGTGGCTTCAAAATGATATGTTGACCAAAAATTTGAACTTTTGACTGTCAAATGACCATTTTGCCCCTACAGTTGACTGTAGTGCAATTTAGGGTTTTGACTGTGCCATTTTGAACTGAATGCCTTGAAACTTGACATGAGGATACTTGACCATATTTGTAGGCATGTGAGACTTGATTGGACCTTTGAAAACTTCCTTTTCTTGATCAGAACACAAACCCTAGTTTTGACTGTATAGGGGACCTTTGCACTATATAACCCTTGGGGAATTTTGTGACTTGGCTTGGCAATTTCTTGAAGAATATGGGAGGGCAAATTTTGGGGTACAACAGGGATCTACAGAAGTTCTAAGGTCAGAGCGGGTGGTTATTCCTGAAAACTTAGACGGGGAAGAGCAATATATCGAAAGTGATAATGATATTCCTTATTATTCTGATATAGAGGCGATGGTAAGGCATGTTTTGTTGACCTTTCGGTCAACAGTTGGCTTAACCTTTTCCACAATTTTTGCAATTTTCTAAGTTATTTATGATTCTCTCCTACAGATACTTGAAATGGACTTGGAACCTGATGTTCAGGATTTATATGAGAATGAAGAAGGTAATACTATTGGTTTGTGCTACTTGCTAATTTGCTTTTGTATTTCCTATTGAAAAAAGAGACAACTAGTATTAATTAGTGGCTCAACTAAAGAACACTTCTATTTCCTGTTGCATTTTTTATGCTATCTCATGGTATGTGAGGGTGCTTCAGCTATTTGGGCAATGGATAGGCTCAGTTCTCGTGAATGTTTTTGCCATAACCTATGTCTATCAAAAGAACAAAAAATCCACATGTCTCTATAAAAATTTAATTTAATTTGCTTGTGTAATTCATCGTTTTCTTTTGACATTATTATAGATTAACAATTTATATTCTGATTACAATTTAGTATCAATATATCAACACGAAGAAACTAAGCGGACTATCATAAGGCTGGAGCAGGGTGTTCACTCTTTCACGCAAAAAGCCATGGCTTCACACGGAGCATTGGCAATGTTATATGGCTGCCACTCAAATTACTATATCAAGAAACCTGAGGTATTTGTCAATTAAGCACAACAAATTCTTTATTGATCTACATGTTGTTTGGAAATGTTTTCCAATTTTACTTTTTGAATGTAAGTATAACACTCATGTTACTTTTTATAATAATTTCACTATGGTAAAAAAACTCGCATGCATTACAGATACAAGTTCACATATTTTCTGTTATGTCAAACAACAAAGATCTGTTATGCGATTATTAACATCAATGGTTTTTTAAAAATGCCCCAACTTAACTTAATGTTTTCTTTTTTTAATTGGAAGAGTAAATATTTGTGGTGTCTTATTGTATCATACTTTTTCTTATCGTAAACGCATGCGATTGTAGAATTTAAAAAGAAATATACTTGGATCTTTGAGCTTCCTACACTTTGCTGAAAATTCAAATGCTATAACAGGGAAGTTTGTCGCCAAGACGCCTTGATACATATCCAAATTTGATTAGGTTTCTCCTTAGCGGAAAGTGAATTTTATTTTATTGGAGATTTTGTTGTAGTTGATTTTTCTGTACCTTATAACTTTTCATACAATTGGAGTTTGATTGTGAGAGTTATTCTGCCAGCCCATAATTGACAGTTAGTTTTGTAATGCAGGTACAAGAAGAAGCGCAAAATGGACAAGTAGAATTGGAAAAACATGTCATCACAAAGACATTGACTAAGCCATCTGAGGCATATTATGATGCCAAAAACCTGCCACATGTTCTTGTGAGTACAAAAATATGTTTTGTGTGAATCTTGCAGGCTGCTAGGTATGCGTAGCTTGGACCAAATGGTAGTCAAGGAAGGATCATGGTCCTAGCATGGAAGTTTAACACAAAATCACTTAACACTAAGGACTTTCATGAATTTTGTAGAATATTGTAACATTTTTTGTAATTCTCTCAAGTTGTAGCAAACCAATGTAAATATTAAAATGAAATTTGGCCTTTGATGATATTTGAATTTTTCTTGTTTATTGGTAAAATTTGCACTTCTTTTTACCTTTGATCACATTTTTTTGATATTATTGATGATTATTTGATATTAAATGTTTTTATTGTAATTAACTTTATTATGTTGAAAAGTGATAGAAAATAAAATAAAAATACTATAAATAAAAAAATATTAAAGTAAATAATAATTTAAATATAATAGTAAAATATTATAGTAAAATAATATTATATTTAAAATTATTTTACTAAATAATAATTTAAATAAAAATATTATTTGAAATTTATAAATCAGATTACGACGGTTAAAACCGCCGCAATTTCTAACCTACGGCGGTAGAATAACCGTCGCAAACAACAACAAAAACAAAAAATAAAGTCAAATTCACGACGGTATATAACCGTCGCTATATTTAGTTTAATCCGTCGTGATCATTTGCGACTGTTGTGCGTGACAGTTTTTGCAACCGTCGCGAAATAGGCTGGGGACGCACGATTCTGCGACGGTACTTCTACCGTCGTAGATTGTAAATTGCGACGGTTTTAACCGTCGTAATTAGCCAAAATAACCGTCCTAATCTATCATTTTTCTTGTAGTGGCAGTAGCAAGACACTCCAGAAGACTCTGAAGTGTAAAACTCTGATATTTGTCTGAAGAAATCAGTCAAAAGATTTGAAGACAGAAGTTGTTACTTATGTCCAGATGCTAAAGAATCAAGCTTCTAAAGACAACATATTCTAAGGAAATCAGTCAGAAGATCTGAAGATAGAAGTTGTTACTTACGTCCAGATGCTGAAGACTCACGTTTCTAAAAGACAACATGTTCCAAAGAAACAAAGTTAGAAGATATGAAGACAAAGTTTCTACTAAAGTCCAGATGTTGAAAGCTTGTGCTTCTATTTATGAAGTTCTAAAGATAAGGGTGAAGCAACCGGAAAAAAAAAACACAGAGCTGCCACTGAACTTTATTTATCCCGAAGGAAGGGGAAATGTCGAGAAAACACCCCAAGAAGATGGATAAGATGGTCTTGCAATCAAAAGAGAGGGTATGAAAGTCAATTATGTGAATGGAAGGTATTAGCACCCTCACATCAGTTGTACTCAATGGGATCCATTTCAATTATTTGTTTCGTAGGGTGCATCTATCTAAAACTATACTTGCTAAGGGAAATGAAATGGTTTTTATTAGTGCACTCGCGAGGGTCTCACAACCCTTTGCCTACGTATCCCATGAAGGAATCAAAACACCATAGTTCTTCTAGAAAATGTTAGTTTGTTGGTGTTTTTTAGTGGGCGATGTTAGCGCACATATTCTAGCAATAGACACGGCCTGTGTCGCGGTAGAAGGAAGATAACATGTCCTTTTTTAATTTTTGATTTGTTGAGTGTTTTTTTTTTTGTTAATTTTGAAATGAGTTTGAAATTATTAAGTGTTTTTGGGTCTTTAATTAATGTTCCCATGTACAATGATGGACCAAATATTGAGTGTTTGAAAGGGAAATTTCTAACCTAATTAGTTATCATGCATGGATTGGTCCTAAAGTCTAATTCAACACGAAGCGATCGAAAATGAATTTAATCGATTCGTGAAATCACCTAAGGGAACATTTTATCAAGACTAACCCATCAATTAAACAAAACGAAGCTAATTTTTTTTGTGATTTTTATCAAGTAGAGAAAAGTGACTAAGCGAAAATAACTAAAATGACTAAGAAAATTAAAATAAATATTAAATTAAATCCACAAGGTTACTAAGTTAATCTTAAAACTAAAATAATTAAGAAAATATAAAACTAAGAATAAAAGTAAACTAATTAGTAAACCAATAGAGTTAATAAAATTTAAATTACACAAGTTAAGACCAAAGGGTGCAAGCAGAATATGGGGGAGTATGATGAGTTTTGCTAGGCTAGAGAGAAACATGCCAGGCCCAAGCTATAAATAAAACAAACTGGGAATTATTTTTTTAAAAAGTATATGTTGGGTCGGACCGGGTCGGGTCCGGACCCAGCTCCTCACTCAAATCCAGACGGATTGTATAACCCTAGAAAACCAACACCACTCAAAACAAAACCGCTCCCTCTGTTATTTTTTCAAACGAAATATTCTTCACAACTCAAATGATTCTTCTTTCTTTCAACCTTAATCTCAGTTATAACTTCTCACTCGTATAAATTTCTTTATTCCCAACTTCTTCATCTCAATAAATCCTCTGTTTTGTTTCTTTCATGGTTAACCTCTCAACTTTATCTCTCTGCTCATGGTTAAAAAATCTTTTTCCCTCTTAATCGTTCATTATTTTCATTAAGAACAACATCTAACAACAACAATTCTCCTTCTACTCAATCAAAACAAACAAACATTCACAAGACTCAAAAACCAAACATGTGAAAGTAAGAAGATAAATTGATAAGCACCTGCAGCTGAGGGAGTAAATGAAGGCAAAATCTCAAGGTTTAATTATTACTGAATTGACGAAATCAATAGCACTGCCAGGTACGATGTTTCGATCTTCTTTCCTCCTTCTGATTCTGTGTGAAGTTTATGTTGGCTTTTGAACAATGCCATTCCATGTCAGTATCGAGAATCGCTAGATGCGTTATTGTTTGCTTCTAACATGGTTCATTGAATCTAAATATGAAGCTTGATGTTGGTTTGAGTTGCAATGTGAGTTGTTGCTACTTATTGAAGTTGAAACTCAAAACCGAGTTGATGCACTGAAGATTGTTGGCACGTTGTTGTTGAGTTCTATTTATGTAGTTTCGTCGATGTTGGTGTTTGAACAGATTGCTATCTGCAGGTGTGTTAAAGGGTTTTTACAAAGGTTTTGTGTTGGAGGTTGTTGCAAGGAGTATGGAGGTTAGGTTGAAGGTAAACATAAGTTTCTCTTTTTTTTGTATATCTTCTCTGTCATTTTCTTCTGTTTATATAGGTGAGATTGAGGTTTTTGTGGAGGGTATTAAAGATGGTTATGAAATGTAATGGGGCCAGTTCTTGGAGGGAGGGGATTGAAGGTTGTTGAGTAGGGGTATGTGTGTATTTTGTGTGATTTTATGCAGATTCTTGTTCTTATTGTTGGTGTCTGGTTTTGGAAAAGGTTTTAAACTGGGATGTTGTGATATATTGTTTCTGATTTGCAAGTAAAGATTATGAAGATGCGGTTGAAGTTATCGAAGGAAGAGGAAATTTATGGTAATGCAGTTGTTACAGTGGATTGGTGATTCTTCAAGGAGGTCAAGCATTATGCATAGTGTTTTTTGAGGTGTGTTCTTCTGAGTTTTCTCCTTTTTTTCTTTGTTGTGTGTATAAGGCTTGTTATATAGGCAGATTGATGGGTGTTTTTTTTTTGGGGGGGGGGGGATAGAATAGTATTTGAACACTTTTGATGTTCTGTGTGTATACTTTCTTAGGCTGTTTTTTTGCTATAACTATTTTGGTGTATTTTTGGCTTAATATGGTGCAGTGTTTTGGACAGGCTATGCAGAATTTGGACTGTTGTGTATGGACTGATATGGCATGTTTCTATAGTATAGCAGTAGCAGAATTTTAGGACTAGTTTGGGACAGCACTAGCAACAGGCTCTTAGAGGTTTATGGGGCTGGTTTAGGATATTGGGATTAGGTTTAGGTTTAGTAACTCTGTAAGCAACATGATTAAAGTATGGTAAAGGCATGATTGTTGGAATATTGCAAGAGATGGAATCAAGGCTTTAGGCATAAAAACTTGAGTTTTATCTTCCTTTTGTTGTAACTTAAAAATTGTAGAAACTTGAAATAGCTTGATGAATAAATTTGATCTTTGTATAAACTTGAACTATTCTTGAATTGTAATGAAACTAAGGAAAAGTATTGAACTTTGTTCTTGCGACTTTAAGAAGTATTGTGGAATTAATTCATGAAACTTGAATTCTTGACATGCTTGAAGATAGATGAAAAACCATGAACTTTGAATTAGCTTTGTCAATTTGATTTGGTTCATGAGAATTGTAACATAAAGAAACCATGAACCAAAGTACAACTTTATCACGTTTGAATTCAAATGAGGCTCAAATATTGGAAGCTTGAATTGTTTTAGATCAAATTGAAATAAATTCCTTTTTTTATCTTTTCAACTCATGAAAATCTTGAAAACCAATTCTTGAACCAAAGTTTGTCATGTCATGACTTTAATTCCAACTTTGCTTCTTTCTCAACTTGAATGTTTCTTGCAAAAGTTCAAAGAATAAATCCACATAAACCATGCAATTTCCCAACTTTTCTTAAAGAAAACTCTAGCCAAAGACAAAATCTCTTCGGGGAAAATAAAGCACTTGTCAGTCAAAATACACATCCAGCTCTTCCTTGATGGTGAATGGAATTTTTTATTAAACTTGAATTCTTGTTCAATTGAAATGAAAACTTTGAACCTTAATGTTGAGGAGAGGAGAATAGCCTTATAGCTTTAATGGACAAGAAATCCGTAATAGCCATGTATCAAAAACCTTAATCTAATAGCCAGCTGCTCAAAGAAATCACCTTTATTGGATGTAGAAACCTCAAACCAATATTAAACCTTAGCTGGAACAACCAACTAATGCTTTGAACTACTGCCTTAGTGAATGGAGGAATGATATGCAAATTGACTTAGTTAAAATGATGCAGATGAAATGAAAAGGCTAAGCCGAACAAAATCAAAAGGGTAGGAAAAATTTGGGGTTTAACAAAGGGTTCTGAAGACCAAGTGCTGAAGACTCTAAAAGACAGAAGGTCTAAATATTCTAAAGACTTGAAGTTCTAAAGACCCAAGGTTCGAAGAAAAGGTTCTCATAACCAAGTGATAAAGACTCTAAAGACGCAGTTCTGAAGACTCTGAAGACTTGAAGTTCTGATGACCTGATGTTATGTTCTCACTTCTAAACTCATGCTCGCAGAAGCATCTAAAGTGCAAAAGGAAAGAAGATAATGTTAAATTTGTATAAATAGTACATGTTACAATCAATTTTTCATTCCACTACCATGAAAGGACGAACGCATCGCACGATCTTGTCCCCCACTTTACTGTTCAAGTTGCTAATGTTTTTGGAAATTCCAAGAGTATCCCTCAACAAACACGTTATGTTAATGGCTATATAAAGGATTAAGAATAAGAAAGAAAGTTGACTAACTACTGAATATTCACACACAAACGTTGTTCATTGCTTTCACATTCTTAAGTCATTGTTCATAAAATATTGTACATACTCAGCTTTTTAGACGCAATACTCTTGTAAACAAAACTTGTATTCAAACTGTTGGTTGATATTCCTTAATGGACCAGGTAGGTCTAAATCCTTAAGAAGTATAGAGCTTGCGAGTTTTAGAATTTGTTAGTCAATTACGGGTAGCTTGTGTATTGTAATAGTCCGATTGATTATTAGTTGATATTCCTTAAGAGACCGGGTAGGTTTGAATCCTTAAGAAGTCTAAGGCTTACGAGTCTAGAGGTTGTTAGTCACTTGCAGGTAGCTTGTGCAAATTGTAATAAGTTTGGTTATAGTGGATTAAGTCCTCGATTGAGTGAGGTGATATCACCTTTGCGGGTGGACTAGACTAGCTTGATAATGTTCAAGTGAACTAGTATAAAGATACATTGTGATTTACTTCCTGTTCTTACTTATTGTTATTATCAAGAGTGAAGGAAAAACATTTTTAACTTAAAGGGGAATAATATTAATTTTTTAAAATAATAGTTTGTTTTAAAAACCCAATTCAAATCCCTCTTTCTTGTGTTTTTCACACCTTCAAAGATACCTTCTCAAGAGGGGACTCCTTCCGGGCACTGAATTTAAGGTCGTTGACATTGATCCCCCCAGGTCTTTTGACGCTCTTCTCGAAAAGGCATGAACATACATGGAATAAAAGGAGAAAGAAGCAGCCAATAAAGCCCGTGTTTCGAGGAACTGCATACTAGCTAACATTCTGCGACACCAGGACATGGGCCCTTCTTGATAGACTGGAGACAAGAAAAGGGAGGAGAAACCACGCGATCCCCGCAAGCATAGAGGACCAGTAGGATGGTTCCTAGAATACACCCTACTGACCGCTTCCCGCGAGCCTATCCTTGTGGAGTACTCTAATATCGAGTTTAAGGACGGCGATGTCAGACATCCTCGACCTGCTCCTGCAAAGCCCAGGGCAGACAGAACAAAATACCGCCAGTACCATCGGAGCCATGGGTACTTGACGGAAGATTGCGTCCACCTTAAGGATGACATCGAGACTCTCATTAAGGGTGGGAGACTTGGGCGTCACAGACGAAATGATGCCCCTCACCGAGATGTCTGTGAGGTAAAAGAAATCAAGGAAGAAACCCGATCGTTTGATGAATCGGGTCCCCTCCGGGTGGCTTTCCCCGTGACGAGGCCCGAGGACTTCCACATCCCTGACAACTATGAAGATGAACCTCTTTCCATACACAGCAGCTGGGAGAAATTCCCCTCCGTCGTGGTCAACGAGTTAGTGGACACGGCCCCAACCCAGGAAGTAACCCTTGAAAGGTTCAGAGGAAAATCTGAGATGATCACTTTCTACCTTGAGGAGCTGCCTGGCAGAGCCCCAAAGTAAAGCATTCCTCTGCTGGTGAGGGAGAGGATGACCAACATCGACGTACATCACATCCTGGTCGACGAGGGGAGTTCCATCAACGTCATGTACAGTCACCTGTTCTATACCTTGCAGCTCAGTGATACCCACCTGTCACCATACGTGGGGTCCGACCTACAAGGATTCAAAGGCTCGACCTCTAAACCTTGGGGCTACATTGAGCTCTTTGTCACCTTCGGGGAAGAAACCGCATATCGACAGGTCAAGGTGCGGTTTCTGATGATCGATTGCCCGTCTCTCTAAAACTGCATCCTGGGGAGACCAACATTGGACAAACTGATTGCCATACCCTCCACGGTATATTGGAAAATGAAGTTCTACACCAGGAGAGCCCGCGTCGCCACCATCCATGGGGACATCTCAACTTCCAAGAGATGTTTTCACGCGACTTCTAAAGGGCAAAGCATAGTTGACACTGGAGCGCGACCTTCCAAAAGAGCAACCATTGCTCGACTTGAATCAAGCCTGCTCGGGTAGAAGGACAAGAGGCTCCACCAAAGGTCGACTCCATTTTTCTTGACACCTGCTTTGACAAAAATGAAGTCGAAGCCCCCAATGGCGAACGAGATCTTCTCAGGCCCATCCCATACTGACACTTCGAGTTCATCCTTGTTGTACCCCAAAAGTTGCCCTCTCATGTTTCCCAAGGTTTCTTTTACATGATTGGTTACAAACGCTTACCTAAATAAAAATGAAATTTTTGAATGATAGCAAAGGGTCTTTCGATTGGCATGCCAACAATGCCTTTCGATTGGCATCTGAATAATGTCCTTCAATTGGCACATCAGAGCAGTATCCTTCGATTGGCACATCAGAGCAGTGTCCTTTGATTGGAACATCAGAGTAGTGTCCTTCGATTGGCATAATGACAAGCTTCGTCTGGGCTCCTAAAACCTTTCGACCAAGCATTGGCCCATCAGCTTCGATTGCGTGTTGGTTCCCCTTTCGAGGAAGCATTGGTCCAAGTTTCGTTTAAGAGAGAATCCCCTATAAGTTCCCTTCGATCCATAAATAGTGGCCTCCTGCATGTATATTCTGAGTCACTAGGCAATGGTCTCTTTTACGCTTGCTTTGACCTGCCTCATGCTAGCGCCCACAAGGCATTGGCTGCCTTTGTGCCAGCTTCGATTGGGCAAGGGTCCCCTTTGAAATAGTTGTTCACACTTTGACACGCATGATAGTCCCTTAGAAGGCATATTCATGTGGTCCCTTCGAAGAAGCATTCACTAGTTCATTGGAAGGACACATGACTATTGAAGACAAGTTGGCTTTGTGGTGAGTTTTGGTCCAAGATGCTTGCTGGCCAAAATCCTGCATATTGCCAAGCCCAAGCCCCTATACAGGTATATTCCTGCCAAAGGTGGCTTCTACTAGCCAGAGTAAAGTCTTTTGATTGGGCTGGTTGAGTAAGGTCAGGGAAATCGAAGAAAGCGAGCTTAGGGGATGATCGAAGAAGCTAGGATGTTAAGGCCTTATACAATTCGAATCAAGACCTGGGCAATTCGAATTGAGGTGGACAGACTCAATCGAAGGAACTATAAGGGTGAAACTAAAGCCAGTCGAAGGAGGCAACTTGAGGCCAATCGAAGGGCAGGGACTGAAGGTAGTCGAAAGCCAAAGGTGTCCACATTCATCCAAATTCAAAAAGAGACAATAATTCCACATCTTTGGCAAAGTTTCAAAATGATATTCATGGCCTTTAAAACACTAACTTAATGGTTGTTTATTCCTTTGTCCTTTTGTCCCCTCCACCCTCTCTATATAAGAAGCACACTAGCAAGCTCCAAGGGGGCGACGAAAAAAGGAGGAGACCACATGCATACGCACACGCTGCCTCACAAGATCATACCAAACTTGCCTCCTTCCTTTCGAATCCAAGAGCATCCAGCAACTCTAGTCCCCCACACAAGTTCCAGTTTCAAGCAAGGTA